CCCGTCCTGGCATTCCTGCGGGGAGCAGCCCCCCGGAGCCCCCCTTTGGGGTGAGCACTGCCAGCCCCCCCTCACCTGCAGCTCCGGGCTGACTCAGCCGCCCCGGGGGGGTCCCGGCGTGCCGGGGCGGGGGCTGCCCGGGGCCCCGCATTCCTCCTGTGCCTGGGCTTTGAGTCAGCGCCCGGCCCGCCCGGACGTGCCCGCGCTGCCGGGCCCGCATTGCTCAGCTTCCCGGCACTCCCTGCCCGCCGGCGCTGCCCGGGGACAGCGGGGCTCGGCCCGGCTGGGGACTGGTCAGCTCGGTACACCGGTGATCCGTGATCAGCCCTGGGAGCCGTGTCTTGTCCCGGTAGCCGTGTCCCCTCTGTGTCCTGGGAGCCGTGTCCCTCCCGTGTCCCCCCCATGTCCTGGGAGCCGTGTCCTGGGAGCCTTGTCCTCTCTGTGTCCTGGGTTCTGTGTCCTGGGAGCCAAGCCCTGGGTGCCGTGTCCCTCCCGTGTCCCCTCCATGTCCTGGGTGCCGTGTCCTTCCCGTGTCCCTCCTGTGTCCCTCCCGTGTCCCCTCCATGTCCTGGGTGCCGTGTCCTTCCCGTGTCCTGAGAGCCTTGTCCCCTCTGTGTCCTGGGACCCCTGTCCCCCCCGTGTCCTGGGTGCCGTGTCCCTCCCGTGTCCCTCCTGTGTCCCCCCCGTGTCCCTCCCGTGTCCTGGGTGCCGTGTCCCCCTGTGTCCCCCCCGTGTCCCTCCCGTGTCCTGGGTGCCGTGTCCCTCCCGTGTCCCCCCCGTGTCCCTCCCGTGTCCCCCCGTGTCCTGGGTGCCGTGTCCCTCCCGTGTCCTCCCTGCCAGAGGGAAGCGCTTCCCCCCCCAGCACGGCCACCTCCACGCCATTGTCCCCGCGCTCCCCAAGGACTTCCCGGCGGAAAGGCTGGCCCTTCCGCAGCCCTCCGGCCGTGCCAGCTCCCCATGCCAGGGCCACGGGGCCTTGCTTGGGGTCCCTGGCATCTTCCCTCGGGGCGGGGGGTCCCTTCAGCATCGCCTGGAGGGGCTGGGGGGGCATATCCAGCCTGGAATGTCACTGTCCCCCCGTGGCAGTGCCGGGACTCAGCCGGGCCATCCCTGCCCTGCCTGGGGGAAATCACCCTCGGGAGCTGCTGCCTGTCCTGGGACAGCCCGGGAACCTCGGGGTGTCTGTCCGGGATCAAGGGTGTCTGTCCGGGATGAGGGGTGTTTTTCTGGGATCAAGGGTGTCTGTCCGGGATGAGGGGTGTTTTTCTGGGATCAAGGGTGTCTGTCCGGGATGAGGGGTGTCCATCCTGGATGAGGGGTGTTTTTCTGGGATGAAGGGTGTCCGTCCCAGCTCCCCCTCCCCGCTGTCAGGGGGTTCTGTCCCCTGTCCCGGCATTCCCTGGCACGGGAGCTCGGCCCTGTCTGCCGGACACGCCGCAGCTGTGCCGGGGCTGCGGATCAAAGGTTGGCCGGGAAGGGCCGGGGGTGTTTACACAGATGGGGGGCCCCGGGGCTGGGCTGGGGGTGCTGAGCAGCCCCTCCCTCTTCTCCCTGCCAGCACAGCGAGGTTTGGAGGGTCACTGTGACCCCTCTTCCCACCCCTCACATGCACGGGGCTGGGGGCTCAGCCAGGCTGGGATGGAGTCTGGGAAGGAGTGGGGAAATCTGTCAGTCTGTCCCTGACCCCATTCGGGGTCCCTGTGTCCCCTTCCAGCTCTGGAGCTGGGCCTGACCCCTTGTTTGGGGGTGTCAGGGTGTGACAAACTCTGGGGAAGCAGCTCCGGTGTCCCCCAAGCGTCCCCTCCCCAGGGCACGCGCCTGGCTCCGCACCCCAGATTGAGTTGGAGGGGTTTGGGGGGCTGGACCTGCTCCCCCCCCTCACCCCACGCCCCTCCCCCGTTTCTGCCCCCCAGGCTGCTGGTGGGGGCCCCCCAGGACGCAGAGCCGGTGAACGGGACACGGACGGGCGCCGTGTACGCCTGTCCCCTGAGTGCCACCACCCGCGACTGCCAGCGCCTGGCCATCGAGCTCAAGGGTGGGTGACCCCCCCCGGGGGGTGGGACCACCCCAAAACCCCCCCAGGAGTGGGGACCCCCTCTGAGGCCGGTTCTTCCCCTGCAGATGAGCCGGACAAGGCCATCATTGAGGACATGTGGCTGGGGGTGACAGTGGCCAGCCAGCGGCAGCCACCGGGGAGGGTTCTGGTGAGTCTGGGGGCACGGCGGGGCTTTGCACACCTGGATTCTGGATCCTTAAACACCTGGATCCGAGATCCTAACACACCTGGATCCCAGGTTCTTACACACCTGGATCCTGGATCCTGACACACCTGGATCCCAGATCTTAACGCACCTGGATCCCAGCTCCTTACACATCTGGATCCCAGATCTTAACACATCTGGATCCCAGGTTCTTACACACCTGGATCCTGGATCCTGACACACCTGGATCCCAGCTCCTTACACATCTGGATCCCAGATCTTAATGCACCTGGATGCCGGCTCTATGCACACACACCCCCTTGGGATGTCCCCCCACCTTTGGGGTGTCCCTGAGCTGTCCCTGAGCTGTCCCTGAGCTGTCCCTGAGCTGTTCCTGTCCCTGTCCCTGTCCCCTGTCCCTGTCCGTGTCCCCAGGCGTGTGCCCACCGCTACACGCGGGTGCTGTGGTCAGTCCCTGAGCTGTCCCCTGTCCCTGTCCCCTGTCCCCTGTCCCTGTCCGTGTCCCCAGGCGTGTGCCCACCGCTACACGCGGGTGCTGTGGTCGGGTGCCGAGGCTCAGCGGCGCATGGTGGGCCGGTGCTACGTGCGGGGCAATGACCTGCGCCTGGACCTGGGGGACGAGTGGCAGACGTACCACAACGAGATGTGCAACGCCAACACCGACACCGACGAGACCGGCATGTGCCAGATGGGCACCAGCGCCGGCTTCAGCGCCAACATCATCTACTTCGGGGCGCCCGGCGCCTACAACTGGCAGGGTGAGGGTCCCGGGGGGCCCCGCCAGCCTGGGGTCACCGCTCCGGGCACCCCTTATCCCGGGGGTCCTCCTTCCCTTTGGGGGCACCTCCTTGCCCAGGGTGTCTGGGCCCCCCCAGGACCCCCACCCCGCTGTGGGGCTGACCCCCCGCCCCACTGCAGGCACCGATTACATGCTCCAGCGGGAGATGTGGGACCTGCACGACTTCTCCTACCCCAACAAGAGGAACGGCAACACCTACATAGGTGGGGGGCGGCAGAGCGGGGGGGTTTGGGGTGAGCAGGTTTGGAGGGGACGGATTTAGGGGGAATGTTGGGGGGGGGATGTTAAAGGGGTGCTCAGGGAGGCTGGAAGACCCCCCCGAGGGTGGTGAGAGTGGGGGGGCAGTGGTGACATTGGGGGTGACATTGGGGGTTGCATTGGGGGTGACATTGGGGGTGACATTGGGGTGTTCAGGAACACGGAGGGAGCTTGGGGTGGTGGTTTGGGGTGGGGAGGAGCTTTGGGCGTTGTGGGTTTGGGGTGTGGATGTTGAAGGCGCGGGAGACACTTGGGAACACTTGGGAACACTTGGGAACACTTGGGAACACTTAGGGACACTTAGGGACACTTAGGGACACTTAGGGATGCTGTGAGCGGTTCCCAGCGCTCCCCCCGAGATACCCCGGGGGCTGGAGGGGCTCGGGGGGATCTGAGGGGATGTCGGGGGTCCCGCAGGGTACACGGCCGAGGTGGGCAGCGCGGTGCTGCAGCAGGACGCGGTGACGCTGGTGACGGGCGCGCCCCGGTACCGGCACACGGGGGCCGTGCTGCTGCTGAGCCGCGGGGCCCGGCAGGCGCTCAACCGGAGCCTGCTGCTCCCCGGGCCCCAGGTCGGCTCCTACTTCGGCAGCGCCCTCGCCCTGGCCGACCTCAACAACGACGGGTGAGGGGCCGCGACCCCCCCCCGGCTGCGACCCCCAGCTCGAATGGGGCTTCTGTGGGGCGGGGGGCGCACCTGGGGCGTCCTCACCTGGGCTGGGATCGGTCAGCTCCCGGGGGTGGGGGTCTCACCCGGGACATCCCGCAGTTCCCGGGGGTGGGGGTCTCACCTGGAGCACCCGCAGTTCCCAGGGGTGGGGGTCTCACCTGGAGCACCCGCAGCTCCCGGGGGTTCCCTGTGGGTCCCAGTTCTGGGGTGAGGAGGTTTTTGGGGGGAGTTGCATTTTCACAGCTCTGGGGGGGTCCCCACCTCTTGACCCATGTGGGGTCGGGGCCGTGGCTCAGCCCCAGCCCCGAGCACGCCGCTGTCCCCACAGGTGGCAGGACCTGGTGGTGGGGGCCCCCTACTACTTCGAGCGGAAGCAGGAGGTGGGGGGCGCGGTGTTCGTGTACATGAACGAGGCCGGGGGCTTCCAGCAGCTCCCCAGCCTGGTCCTGACCGGCCCCAGCTACTCCGGGTTCGGCTTTGCCCTGGCCAGCATCGGGGACATCAACCAGGACGGGTTCCAGGGTGAGCGGCCGGGGACGCCTTCGTGGGGAGCCGCTTTTTGGGGAGCCTCGTGGGGGGCTGACCCTGCTCTTGTCCCCCCAGATATCGCCGTGGGGGCTCCTTTCGAGGGGCCTGGCAAGGTCTACATCTACCACAGCAGCGCCGAGGGGCTGCGGGACCGACCCCGGCAGGTGACGGCCCCGGGAGCCCTGAGCCGGGCAGGGCCCGGATCCCTCCCTGGATCCGGCCTTTGGATCCAGCTCCAGGGTGGGGTGCAGGGGGTCCATCCCTGGGGTGATGAGCACTGAGACCCCCCCCTGCCCCCCAAATCCAGGTGATCAGCGGGTCGGAGCTGGGCCCCACCACGATAAAAACCTTCGGGTATTCCCTGAGCGGGGGGCTGGACATGGACGGGAATTCCTACCCGGATCTGCTGGTGGGCAGCCTGAGCGAGCGAATCGTCCTGCTCAGGTACAGGAACGGGGACAGGGGACAGGGGACAGGTGTCCTGCCCCTCCTGCCACCCCTGGGCTGGGCACAGAGCAGGGGGGGCTCAGCCAAGCCCAATCCCTGCCCAGAGCCCGTCCCGTGATCAACATCCTGGACAAGACCTTCACGGTGACCCCCAGCAAGGTGGACCCCGCCCAGTGCACACCCAAATCCTGGTGAGTCCCCGTGTCCCCGTGGCTGCTGCTGGCACCCCTGGCTCGGCTCACGGTCCCTTTGTCCCCCCAGCATGACGGTGACCCTGTGCTTCTCCTACAACCAGAGCGCGGGGGACCCCAACTACAAGGAGAGGATCAGTGAGTGGGGGGAGCTGGGGGGGGACGCTTGGGGACTCTGTGGGGGGCGTTGGACGACTCGTGCTGTCCCCCAGCCCTGCAGTACACGCTGGAGGCCGACAAGGAGCGGCACCCGCCCAGGGTCAGGTTCTCGGGGTCCCAATCTGCCACCTACACCGGGGACTTCTCCATGCCCGACACCCACTGCCAGTCCCAGGAGCTGCTACTGCTGGTGAGCGTCCGTCCTTCCTTCCATCCATCCATCCATCCATCCATCCATCGTCCATCCATCCATCATCCATCCATCCATCATCCATCCATCATCCATCCATCATCCATCCATCCATCATCCATCATCCATCCATCCATCCATCCATCCATCCATCATCCATCCATCATCCATCCATCCATCCATCCATCATCCATCCATCCATCATCCATCCATCCATCCATCCATCCATCCATCATCCATCCATCCATCCATCCATCCATCCATCCATCCCTCCGTCCATCCCTCCATCCCTGTGCCGAGTCCCTGGGCTCTCTCCCTGGGCTGGCAGCAGCCCCCCAGTCGTGGCTGGGGCTGAATTTGGGGTCCCAGGGAGGGATCTCTGTGTGATTCCCACCCCTCGCAGGACAATGTCCGGGACAAGCTGCACCCCATCGTGCTCTCCATGAACTACTCGCTGCTGGAGAGGCCCAGAACGTTCCAGCTGGGCCCCCACTCCCTGGACACCTTCCCCGTCCTCAACCAGGACCAGTCCCACGAGAACGAGACCAAGGTGTGCCCCGTGGGGGGGCATGGGGGGACACGCTGGGGTGTCCCGCGGGTCACAGGGACTCAGGGGACGTCCCTGTCCCTGCAGATCGAGTTCCAGAAGGAATGTGGATCTGACAACCAGTGCTACAGCAACCTCCAGCTCCGGAGCAGCTTCATCACCGAGCAGAACCAGGCGCTGCCCAGGTGCCGCGGGGCCCCGCACGTCCCCTGGTCCCCTTGGGGGTGTCCCTGTCCCCCTGGGGGTGTCTCTGTCCCCTTGGGGGTGTCCCTGTCCCCCTGGGGGTGTCTCTGTCCCCTTGGGGGTGTCCCTGTCCCCCTGGGGGTGTCTCTGTCCCCTTGGGGGTGTCCCTGTCCCCCTGGGGGTGTCTCTGTCCCCTTGGGGGTGTCCCTGTCCCCCTGGGGGTGTCTCTGTCCCCTTGGGGGTGTCCCTGTCCCCCTGGGGGTGTCCCTGTCCCCCAGGAACGCCTGACCCCGCTGTCCCTGTGCAGGGTGAACGGGACCCAGGTGCTGCAGTACAGCCGGGACGTGCGGAAGCTGCACCTGAGCATCAACATCACCAACGTCCCCAGCACGCCCTGGAACGGCGAGGACGCCCACGAGGCGCTGCTCAACGTCACCGTGCCCCCCAGCCTGCTGCCCTCCTCCGTCCGCCCGGTACGGGGGGACCCCCTGAGCCCCACCGGGGGCCAGCTGGGCTCGGCCAGGGCGGTCCTGACCCTCTTGCCCCCCCCAGAGCGGAGCCTGCACCTTTGGGGAGACGGTGCTGTGCGAGCTGGGAAACCCCTTCAAGAGGAACCAAAGGGTGAGAGCGGCCCCCCAGCTGCCCCCCAGCCCTTCCTGGGGGCTCAGCAGGTGGGGTCCGGCTGAGCCGCTCCCTGCCCGCAGGCAGAGCTGACCATCACCTTCGAAGCCATCGGGATCATGCTGGACACGCGGGAGATCGCGGTGTGGCTGGACCTGTCCACGTGAGTGCGGGGTGGGATGGGGACAGGGATGGTCCCGTTGGGATGGAGGGGATGTTCCCATTGGGATGGGGACAGGGATGGTCCCGTTGGGATGGGGACAGGGATGTTCCCGTTGGGATGGGGACAGGGATGGTCCCATTGGGATGGGGACAGGGATGGTCCCATTGGGATGGAGGGGATGCCCACCCCGGTGCCCGGCAGGCAGAGCACCCAGGAGGATCTGCAGCCCGTGCTGGCCAAGCTGCTGGTGGATTACAGCATCCAGTCCTCGCTGAGCATGTGAGTGTCACCTGAACCCCCTCTGTGTCACCTGAACCCCCTCTGTGTCCCCCCCCATTCCCCCCACCCGAGTCTGGCTGTGTCAGCACTCCGTGTCCCAGGGATGGGGCAGCGCTGGGGTGTCCCCGGTGCCCCTCACGTCATTCCCGTTCCCTGTCCCATTCCCAGAGCCTCATCCCACATCCAGTCCTACTTCAGCGGGACCGTGGTGGGCGAGTCGGCCATGAAACAGGAGCAGGACGTGGGCAGCCCCCTCACCTTCGACTTCCAGGTGGGCAGGGCGTGGCCAGCGCCCGAGGGAGGCGGATTTGGGAACGCGGGAGGGAGGGAGGCGGATTTGGGAACGCCGCCTCCACCTCCCGCCCTGCCCACAGGTGACCACGAAAGGCGAGTCCCTGGGCACCCTGGGCACCATCCTGCTGGGCTTTGAGTGGCCCCACGAGATCCCCAATGGCAAATGGCTCCTGTACCCCACCGAGATCCTGGTGAACGGCAATGACACGTGTCACCCCCCCGGGGGGGTCATCAACCCCCTCAACCTCACCGTGAGTCACCCCCTCAGGGCCGCGTCCCTGCCCCAGGGGGTTCCTCCAGCCCCCCAGCACAGCGCAGGCTCTGATGGGGCTGCTGTCCCCCCTCAGCTCCTGCAGGACCAGGCTCCATCCCGGCGGAGACGGGAGCTGGAGCCCCCCGAGCCGGGGGAGCCCCCGGTCACCTTGGCCACCGGCCGGCGCCCCAGGTCCGAGGCGGTGCTGGTGAGTGGGGGCTGCAGGGGGGGGAAAGGGGGCTCCAGCAGCACGTCCCCCCCTCCCAGGGTCCTGTTTCCTGGCACCAGGGTGGTGCTTCGGGCCCCCCTGACCCCCGCGTCCCCCAGAGCTGCTCGGCGGGCACCGCGCGCTGCGTGTGGTTCGAGTGTCCCCTGCTGCACACGCAGCTCCCCTCCAGCTTCAGCCTCCGCGCCCGCGTCTGGAACAGCACCTTCATCGAGGTCAGTCCTGGGGGGCAGGCTCAGGGCTGCCTGAGCCCTCGGCGTGGCGTTAAACAGGGTCCCGAGTCTGCCAGGGATCAGCTCAGGGGCTGGCACCCACCCCTGTGTGTCCCCACTGTCACCTGTGTCCCCCTCCATCCGTGTGTCCCCATCGTCCATGTCCTCCCCCTCTCCCATCCGTGTGTTGTCATCTTTGTGTCCCTGCCCATCATCCCTGTGTCCCCCCTCATCATCCCTGTGTCCCTGTCCACCCCTGTGTCCCTGTCCACCCCTGTGTCCCTGTCCACCCCTGTCCCTGTCCACCCCTGTCCCTGTCCACCCCTGTCCCTCAGCAATGTCCCCCGCTGTCCCCAGGAGTTCCGGGACTTTGACCGAGTGAAGGTGACGGGCACGGCCACGCTGTTCCTGCGCTCTCAGGTTCCCACCATCACCATGAGGAACCACACGGTGCGGGTGAGCCACGCCCGAGCCCTTACTGGGCCAGACTGGGCGGGACTGGGGCCGCTGGAGCTCCGCGCCCCAACGCGGCCCTTCCCACCCCCCCCAGTTCTCCGTGGACGTGGACTCGGAGCTGCAGGAGGAGCAGCCGGCCGAGATCGCGCTCTGGCTGGTGCTGGTGTCGGTGGCAGCCGGGCTGCTGCTGCTGGGGCTCATCATCCTCCTCCTCTGGAAGGTGAGGGGGGTCCCAAATCCCCTTCCCGGGGCGCAGGAGCCGCGCTGAGACCCGAGGGGCTCGAGTGAGCCGCGGCCGCTCCTCCCTGCCTGGCGAGGGGTGCGAGGGACTCGCAGCTGGAAGATCGTCCCCCCCCCCCAGCTGGAAGGAGCCCCCCGAGGGTGGCAGGTGCCCCCCAGGTGGGAGGTGCCGTTCCGGGAGGAAGATCCGGGGCTGGAGAGGGATGAGGAAGAGGAGCACGGACATTCCCGACGTGTCTTGGGGTGCAAAACGTTTTGAGATGTGCACCCAAAGTGGGGCTGGACCTCCTTCCCTGTGGCTGCACTGCAGGGACTGGGGGCCCCCCACAGCCCCCCGGAGACACCCCCAGCTTCTTGAAGCCCCCCTTTTACCCAGGAGGGGGTCGCTGGGTCTGCAGGACCCCGCAGCATCCCGGGCATGCCCTGTGGGGCATCTCCCTGCCCCGCTCCCCCCACCTGCCGGGGGGTGCCCAGGACCCCTCCAGCCCCTGTCCCGTGCTCCCTGACCCTGTCCCCGTCCCCTGTCCCGTCCCCCCTGACCCCGTCCCGTCCCCCCTGACCCTGTCCCCTTCCCTGCAGTGCGGGTTCTTCCGGCGGGCCAACACCCGGGCCATGTACGAGGCCAAGGGGCAGAAGGCGGAGATGAGGATCCAGCCGTCGGAAACCGAGCGGCTCACGGACGACTACTAACGGGGGGCACCCCCCGTGCCCCCCCGGGCCCCGCCTGGTAATGCCCCGTGGGGCCGGGCTGCAGCCGCATCTTCCTCCTCTTCAGCCTCCTCTCCTCTTCCTCTGTGCCGTAGGGTCCCCGTAGGGCTCCGCGGGGTCTCTCCGAGCGGCTCCAGGATGGCTGATCCTTTTTCCTCTGCTCTTCGCCGCCTCGGGGGTCTCTCTCCTTCTCCGCGACCCTCTGCGGCCCCTCACTGACCCGCTGTCCTCTCTGTCCCCCCCTCCCCAGTGTGACTTTTTCCAGCGGACCCGCTACTACCGGATCATGCCCAAGTACCACGCGGTGCGGATCCGGCAGGAGCAGCGCTACCAGCCCGGGGGGCTCCTGCCCCGCCGCCGCAAGAAGCTCTGGGTGACCAAGTGGCAGGAGCCGGACAAGTACTACTGACCCCCTGTCCCACCGCCCGGACCCCTGCCAGGGGGGCTTTGACTTTGCACAAGTGCATCTCTCCCTGTCCCCGTCCCCTCGGACGCGGCCGCCTCCGGCTTTGGCTCCCGCAGCCCCTCCCCGCTCGCCCGGGGGGCTTTTGCACGCTGGTGCCTTGCACGCTTGTGGGGGGCGACCCCCCAAATGTGCCCCCCCTGCTCCCCGAAGTGCTGCTGGGCTCACCGAGTGCCTTCCCCCCGCACAGACACTCCGCTCGCCACGTCCCTGTGCTTGTCCCCAGCCACCCTGGGACACGTCCCGGCCCCTGGGGACACATCCCCGCAGGCCGGGACACGCTCGCCCCCCTCCCCTTCCCTCGGCGCTGGGTGCGGGACCCCTGTGCTTTCCCCCGGGGGTCTCGGGGATCTCATTGCCTCCTGCAGCCCCTCCCCATCCCGAACCCCGCGGGGGTCTCCTGCTCTTCTCCCCGCGCTCGGACGCAGCTTTGGCTTGGGGGGGTTGGGGGTGCAGCGCTTCAGGCCGTGTCCCCCCGTCCCCGACCCTCGCCCCCCGCCCCGGGGGTCCCTGTCCTGCCCCGCGGGGTTAAATTATTCCGTGTCTCTCCGTGTCGGTGTTTTGGTGTCGAGTCCCAGCGTCCGATCGGTACCGGGGGCGGCTGGGGAGGGGGTCCTGCACCCCCAGCCCCCGCCCGGCCCCCAAACGCCCCGTCCCTTCCTCGCCGGGGCCCAATAAAGCCTCGCTCTGGGATTTGTAACCGCTTTGTCCCCTCCGTGTCACGGCTGGCAGGTTTTGGGGGGTGGGCTGCGGGTTTGGGGGGGCTTTTGGGGGTGGGGGGGTAAAAAGAGGAGAGGGGAATGATGTACCCCGAGGAGGGAGGGGATGATGGGAGGGGAGTGCGGGGCTTGGAGTGGGCTCAGACCCCCCCAAACCCTCGGGAAAGGCTCAAACTCCCCCAAAATGCCCCGGGAAGGGGTCCGGGACCCCCGAGGGGCTGATGGGAACACTGATTATGCAAATGGGCATCGCTGCTGCAGCGAGGGGCGGGGTTATCCCGGGAGGGGCGGGGCCTACAGCACAGCGCGCCATGATTGACAGCGGGGCGCGCGATGATTGACAGTGGGCGGGCATAATTAACTCAGAGGGGGGTGTGGCTAGCGGTGATTGACAGCGGGGGCGCGCGATGATTGACAGCGGGCAGGCACAATTAACTCAGCTGAGGGGCGTGGCCAGAGGTGATTGACAGCGGGGCGCGCCCAGCGCTGAAGCCGGATTGGCACGGGGCAGGGGCGGGGTTTGCTGCAGGACGGGCGGTGATTGGGCGAGGCGCGGTGATTGACAGCGGGTGTGTTGTTTGCGCGCGGCGCGGCGGGGGCGGGGCCGGGGCCGGGGGGCTCTGAGGGGGCTCTGAGGGGGCTCTGAGGGGCTCTGAGGGGACACCGAGGGGACACCGAGGGGACACCGAGGGGACACCGAGGGGACAGCGGGACCATGCGGCTGCTGCGGTGCCTCGGCAAGCGCGCGGCGCTGGCCGGCGTCCCCACCTACATCGAGCACTTCAGCAAGTTCTCACCATCGCCGCTTTCCATGAAGCAGTTTCTGGACTTCGGTAAATAAACAAATCCCCCCTCACCGGGACCCCGGCCCAGCCTCGGGACCCCCAACCTGCTACGGGACGGGGACACCCCTCCTGCCGCCCCTCATCCCCCTCGGCGGGGACAGCCGGTGTGGGGGCGGTGCTCGGGGAGGGAATTCCTGCCCCCCTTTCCTGGGAATTCCTGCCCCCCTTTCCTGGGAATTCCTGCCCCCCTTTCCTGGGAATTCCTGCCCCCTTTCCCGGGAATTCCTGCCCCCCTCATTGGGAATTCCTGCCCCCCTTCCCGGGAATTCCTGCCCCCCTTCCCGGGAATTCCTGCCCCCCTCATTGGGAAATCCTTCACACACTCGCCCTGGAAAATCCTAACCCTCCCCAGGGAATTTCTTTCCTCCCCACCCCGTAAATCTGAGGGGTCTGGGGGCTGCCCCCCCCTCAGTGAGTGTGTGGGCCTGGGTAGCTCTGACCCCCCCAGAGATCCCGTTATTATTGGGGGGGGGATTTAACAACATCCCCCTGGTAAATAAGTGGGCTTGGAGTGTGGTTTCCTAATAGACCCCTTTTGGGGGTGTCCCCTCTGCCCCCCAACCCCTCAGGGGGTACCTGAACCCCCCTCACCTGGGGCACATCCTGACCCCCCCCAGTAAATACCCCATGTGAGGGACCCCCTGCCCTGCACCGGGCTGGCCCCCCCAGGGTGGGCAACTGGGGACCCCTCTGTGAGTCCCTGGGGACCCCTGGGCCTGCTTTGGGTTCTGCTGGTGGCCAAGGTCTCTTTTTCCTCCAAATTGTGCTTGGAGGTCTCCCAGCCCCAGTTTGGGCTTTTCTGGGGGGCACTGGGCACCCTCAGCCTGTCCTCCCCAGTGGGCTGAGCACTGTCCCCCCACCCTGTCAGCCCTTCCAGTGTCCCCCCGTGTCCCCCCGTGTGCCCCCCGTGTCCCCCAGTGTCCCCCAGCCCTCACACCCACCCCAGCCAAGGACCAGGACCTGCTCCCGTCCCCTCTCCCCACTGCCAGAGGGGTGGCAGTGCTGCCAGCGCTGGCTCTGGGGGTCCTGTGGGGGCTCACCCGTGTCCCCCCCCGTGTCCCCCCGTGTCCCCAGGCTCCAGCAATGCCTGTGAGAAGACATCGTTCGTGTTCCTGCGCCAGGAGCTGCCCGTGCGCCTCTCCAACATCATGAAGGAGATCAACCTGCTCCCGGACCGGGTGCTGCGCACGCCCTCCGTGCAGCTGGTGCAGAGCTGGTCAGTCCTGGGGACACGGGGACACTGCCAGGGGGCTGCTGGCACTGCCACCACCCGCTCCTGTGCTGGCTGGGGAGCTGGCACTGCTGGCACCTGGCCAGGGCCACTCTCCTGGGGTCCCACTGCCTCAGGTCCCCTTATTGTCACCCTCCTGGGTCACCCCCCCTGTCACCTGCACAGCTCCCATTGCCACCACCGCTCCTGTCACCGCCCAGAGGGTCCCGCTGTCACCTCAGTGCTACCACCATTGTGTGTCCCAGGGCTGTCACCAGCTGTCCTCCCCTGCAGGGAGTTGGCACGGGGGGGACACAGGGAGGGGTGACAGGCAGGGCACTCCCCAGCTGGTGCCAGGCTGGTGACACGGGCTGCAGGTCCTCTGGGGACACTCCCGTGCCAGCGGGGTGTCCCCAGCCAGCGGGGGGGGCCACCAGTGCCACCTGCTTCCTGAAGGGGCCGGGCCACAGGATGTCCCTGTCCTGGGGGAGGGTCTGAGTGTCCCTTTAAGTGCGGTGTCGCTGTGCCAGTGCCAGCAGTGTGACCCTTCTCCCAGAGCCACCACGTCACGTGTTGTTTGTCCACTGTCCTGGGCCGCTGCCAACGGAGTCCGGCCGTGCCAAGGGGTCATGCCATGCCAGGGGGTCCGGCCGGGCATCACAGCCCTGACCCCATCAGAGGGGCGGTGTCCCCAGGTGTCCCCAGGTGTCCCCAGGTGTCCCCAAGGATCCCCGTGCCAGCCGGGGGGTGGGACAGTGACCCCTGGTGCAGCAGATTTTGGGGTGGGGGCTTGGACTGAGGGTTGCTGAGCCCTGGCCCTGCGTGGTGTCACCTGGGGTGTCCTCTCTGTTTGGGGGTGCCAGCTGTGGGATGACCGTGTCCCCCCAGGTACGTCCAGAGCCTGCTGGACATCATGGAATTCCACGACAAGGACCCCGAGGACCAAGCCACGCTGGGACAGTGAGTCGGGAGGTGACAGCGTGTCCTTGTCCCCAGTGCCAGCGTGTCACCTCCTCACAGAGCCGTGCTGGTGTCACTCAGGGTCACCCCGAAGTGCCCCCACCCCCGGTGCCACTGGGGTCAGCTCCGGGTTTTCCCAGCGCCCCCAGCTCCCGGGAAATCCCGGCCTGGATTCGGGCTGTGCCCGGACCGGGTGTCCCCAGCGCTGTCCCTGTCCCCTGGGCAGGTTCACGAACGCGCTGGTGACAATCCGGAACCGGCACAACGACGTTGTCCCCACCATGGCGCAGGGCGTCATCGAGTACAAGGAGACGTACGGGGACGACCCCGTGTCCAACCAGAACATCCAGTACTTCCTGGACCGCTTCTACCTGAGCCGCATCTCCATCCGCATGCTCATCAACCAGCACAGTGAGGGGGCTCGGGGGGCCCTGCCCCGAGGGATCCGGGGTGGCCCTGACAACAGGGGGTGTCCCCAGAGCCCCCCGCAGTGTCCCCGGGGTCTGTCCTGAGGGTCCCCATCATCACTGGGTGTCCCCAGAATGTCCCCCCAGCCCCAGGGGTCTGTCCCAAGTGTCCCCACTAACCCCAGGGATCCCTGGGGTCTGATGTTTCCCCCCACAGCCCCAGGGTGCCCTGGCGGTGTCCCTGGGGTGTCCCCAGCTCGTTGTCCCCTCCCCAGCCCTGCTCTTCACTGGCAGCACCAACCCCGCGCACCCCAAACACATCGGGAGCATCGACCCCCACTGCAACGTGGCCAACGTGGTGAGAGGTTGGTGGGGTCTGGGGTCCCACCGGGTCTGGGGTCCCACCCCCACAGCGGGGGAGGAATTTGGGGGTGGGGGTTGTTTGAAGGTCCCCCTGGCACCACTCGTGTCACCGGTTTGGGGTGGCCTCAGCCAAACCGTCCCCTGAGCTGTGCAGTCGCTGCAGGAGACCCCAAAAACTTCCCAGATCTGTAGGGATGGGGAATGTTTGGGGGTGGGGGGACCCCAGAGGCTGCCCCTGTTGGTCCTGGGGGTGCTGAGCCCTCTGTCCCCTCCCTTGCCAGACGCCTACAACATGGCCAAGCTGCTGTGTGACAAATACTACATGGCCTCACCCGACCTGGAGATCGAGGAGGTCAACGGTGAGGGGACAGCGGGGCTGAGGGGACAATGGGGGGATCTTGGGTGGCTTCTTTAGGTTTGGGGGTTCCCAGGTTGCTCCTTTAGGGATGGGGTCCCTGGGGCAGGGGGATTTTTGTGGGGCTCGTTTTGGGTTGGGGTCTCCATGGCAGGGTTATTTGGCTTATTGAGGTTTGGGGGTCCCCGTGGTGGGGGAGGTGACCCATTTAGGGCTGGGGGAGGTTTAGGGTCAGGATTGTCCCCACCAATGCCAGTGTCCCCCCCAGCCTGCAACGCGGAGCAGCCCGTGAACATCGTCTACGTCCCGTCCCACCTGTACCACATGCTCTTCGAGCTCTTCAAGGTAGCCCAGCCCTTCGGGGGGTCCCGGGGGGCTGTGGGGGTGCCCCCTGACGCCCCCCCGGGGCTCCGTGTCCCCAGAACGCCATGAGAGCCACGGTGGAGAGCCACGAGAACAGCCCGCGGCTGCCGGCCATCAGGGTGATGGTGGCCCTGGGCCAGGAGGACCTGTCCATCCGGGTGAGGGACCCCGCCCCGCCCCGGGGGGTGTGGGGAGGGGGCACACGGACGGGGTTGTCACCCGCTGCGGTGTCCCCAGATGAGTGACAGGGGCATGGGGGTGCCCCTGAGGAAGATCGAGCGGCTCTTCAGCTACATGTACTCCACAGCCCCCACCCCCCAGCTGGGCAGCGGGGGCGCCCCCCTGGTACGTCACCCCCAACACGGGCTCGGGGGTCCCTCGTGGGGAGGGGGAGGGGGGTCCGCAGTTGAGGGGGGTTGGGGG